CACGATGTCCGACGCGGGCGGCGGAAAGAAGCCGCCTGTAGAGCCGCAGGCGGGGCCAGGCCCGGGACCGGGTCGCGCAGCTGGGGAAAGGGGCCTGCCGGGCTCCTTCCCTCTGGTCTTGAAGAAGCTGATGGAGAACCCCCCGCGAGAGGCGCGCCTCGGTGAGGGGAGGGGGTCCGCGCTTGTCTGGGGGCGGGGTTTCTGCAAGGGCGGGGCCTCTTGAGGGCGGGGCCGGGGAGGTCGGAGGTCAGGGTGTAGTGGTCCAGAGGAGGGGGATGGGGCCAGGGATAACGAGGGGCTTGGAGGGCGAGGCAAAGGGGTTGGGAAGAGAAGGTCGGGGGCTAGTTGAGAGAGGCTGGGTCAGATGGGGGATTGGCGGGGAAGGGTCAGGAGGGAGAGGGTAGGGTGGGGGTCGCGATGAGAAGATTCTTTGGGGCGACCCGGAGCGCGCGACATGTAGGGGATACTGAGGAGGCTCATGAGGGTCGCAGCAGCCACTTAAATGACGCTCCAGGGCGCCTTCTCTGGGGACGCCTGCATCAGAATCACTTGGGATGTTTGTTTTGAAATGCTGATTCCTAGGCCCCTTCAACGACCCTTCTGCGGCTCCTGGGACAGGAATCTGCATCTTAAGGAGTATCCCACCCCCATCTCCTTGATTCCAAAGTCCACTAAAGTTTGCGATGCCCTGATATACAGTAGCGAATTGTCTTTGTATATGGCCTGCCCCGCTCCGGGGAGCAGGACCTATCTTCATCCCTGCGTGTGAGTATCCCCACTTAATAGGTTCTCACTGGAGATTTTCTGGAAATGAGTTTCAGGGCTGCTGCTGAGTTGGGGGAGGGGTATCAGGAGAAGAGATGAGAGGCGCCTTATCAGGGAGAGATTGGGATGAGGCAGGTAGAGGAATGAGGGTCAGAATGAGGCCACTGAGGCCTGTCACCTGGTTGTTTGGGGCTGACCCTAGACTTTGGGGCCGCGGTGGCAGGTCTAGGCTTTGGCTTGTTTCCTAGGCCACAAAGGTCCCTAGGGCCTCTGTGGAAAGCAGGTTTGGCCTTGTTTTTTGGCCTGGGAACGTGAAGTTCAGGGAGCAGCAGGAGTGCCACCTATAGTGGGGTTTTAGGTGCCCTAAAGTATGCTTTCAATCTGAGAGATTTGAATTTCCAAGAACCACTGGTGTAGTTCAGGGATTTGGGAAGGAATGGGCCTTCTGTGAATTACCTGTCTTGGAGAATTAATTTTCTTTTTAAAAATGCCATTTCTCTTCCTTTCCTGGATGTGTTCTGAGGCTCCCATCCCTATGGCTGTCGCTGTTGGGTTATAAATAGGTTTAGCACATCAGGTGAGGACCGGCTCTCTCCTGCTTCAGGACACCATGTGCATAGACCCTTTTGTTTGTTTTTAAAGTTAATACTTTGTTCCAAATCTGGGGCTGAGAAAAGCTGCCAGGACAGGTGTACACATCTGTTGGTTCGTGTTCAGGATTACCAAATAATAACCATCCATAACAGTCATTCCACCTTGTGTCTACAGAATGCTCACAAAGCATTTTGATATAATCTTATTTTATTTAGTCTTCCTCAGCCGTCCTATAGAGTATTATCCCCACTTCTCAGATGAGAAAAGCTGAGGCTCAGAGAGATGAAGGTGTCTCTAAAAGATCACATAGCTAGGCCTCACATGCTCTTTACTGTATCACTGGCAACTACTGATGTCAGTCCCTGTGATCTGAGAGTGATGGATGTAGTCCTTTATGGTCTCTTATAATTTTTAAAACCCCATCTTATAAAATGCTGATTAAAAATTATCCTTAATTGCTCAGGCAACTAACTTTTCCTCGTCTTTCAGTATGGCTGTTTTTCTCCCCTCTCCTGCTTCCTTTTATCCCCATGACCCCACCCAACATGGACCACAGTCATTTCTGAACAGAATGTAGAGTCAAGATCTCAGGGGAGGAGAACAGGGAGGCCATCTGGCCCACTCAGCCCACCAAAGCTTGGCTTTCTTACTTCCCATTTGGTTTTAAACCAAAGCCTGGTACAGAAGGCAGTTGCAAGAATTCAAATTAATTCACATTAGAAGGTATGACCAAATTCTGTTTGTCAAAACCTCCATCTTAACTCACTGGGTGTGTCCATTTTTATTGGACCAAAAGGCTGCTTTTTGGCTGTCTGTGGTGTAGAAGTCCATGCATGACTGGATAATTTCCAACATAATCATATTTGATTTCTCTCTTCCATTTCAGAATCCAGAGTTCAAAGTTGTCTCCCTCAATTTGAAAACCTGTTATGAGCTTGTCATGATTTTATCTCCCACTTCCCTGATTAGCCACCCTGTCACTTTGATTTCCTTCCAACCTTGTCAGATTTCTCTCTTGTCTTTTTTTTTTTTTTTCTTAATTTGCCCTTTCTTGGATATCCACGTGCCTAACTTTTTGACTGAGACAGTTAGGTAGGATCCGGCCCCCACTGATTGATTAGTTTTGCTTTGAAGGGGAGCAAGCTTTCTTCTTCAGCTCCACCCCACTCCTTTTTCCCAGAAAACCTGCCTTCAGTCTTCTTTGCTTATTCAGGGATCCAGGTCTCTTGAAATGGTTGCTCTGAAAAAGGTCCTGAAAAGACAGCTCCCGGCCCTCTATTTAATAAACCTGAAGGGAGTCTGTTTACAAACCTAACCTTCTTCATTCGATATACACGTTTTCCCATGGCCCACTGAGATCTAGAAATGAATGACACAGTCCCTGTCCTGAATGAGCTCACAGTAATAATGAATGCCTGCTGTGTGCCCTGAGCTCTACGAGACATTTTCAGATGTTACCTCTAGTGTTCACCAGAGGCAGCTTTATCCTTATTTACAGTGAAGGACACTGAGACTGGAGAGGTCTAAAGTCACACATCACTGCAGTGGGCGCCAAAGCTGGGATCCAAGCCCTGGGCTGGGTTGCTGTGGAGAAGTACAGCTGGAGGGGACAGGACAGGACAGGAGAGGAGAACATAAAATCATCCTTTCCCTAAACTCCATTTCCTCCCTGTAGCCTTTATGGCAGACGCTAATCCCACACCCATTCTTTTTTTGGTGGTGGTGGGGAGATAATTAGGTTTATTTATTTTTGATGGAGGTACTGGGGATTGAACCCAGTGCTAAGCAGGCACTCTACCACTGAGCTATATCCTGCCCCCTCCCACAGCCCATTCTGAATTAACCCTGGGACCATATCAGGCCTCAGAGCTTGTGGTGAGCATCCTGGGAAGCCCAGGCATGGATGAGGGCATGCTGCCATCTCTAAAGGAGACCATCTCTAAAAGGGCCTGGTTCAAGCCCCAGCTTGTAAGTGGAGAATAAAGTGGGCTCTTGAAATGCATGGATGGAGCAGGACTCAGAGAGGTGGGTCCACCCTGTGAGGCTCACTGCTCACCCCCTGGGATCAAGTCACCCTCTTGTGTGGTGTCTCATCACAGATTTTGTGTCTGCAGATAAGGAAAAGGGGAAGGAAAAGCTGGAGGAAGATGAGGCCGCAGCAGCCAGCACCATGGCTGTGTCAGCCTCCCTGATGCCACCCATCTGGGACAAGACCATCCCGTATGATGGCGAGTCTTTCCACCTGGAGTACATGGACCTGGACGAGTTCCTGCTGGAGAACGGCATCCCCGCCAGCCCCACCCACCTGGCCCAGAACCTGCTGCTGCCCGTGGCTGAGCTTGAAGGGAAGGAGTCAGCCAGCTCTTCCACGGCATCCCCACCATCTTCTTCCACTGCTGTCTTTCATCCCTCGGAAACTGTGTCCAGCACAGGTGGGTGACAGGGCTTTGGGCAGGGCCACCTGCCCCTCCAAGGAAATCCACTCCCCACTAAGGGCTGCTTGTGTCCACACCCCTGGTGAGCTCTTCCCTCAGGGCAGGTCCCAGTGGGCCTGTAGTGGGGAGAAACGCTCTGCCCCCACCCTTCAGCACAGTCCCCTGAGGCTGGAGATAAAAATAGCAGTCACAACAACTCGGTCAGAGCCTTTCTGGTGCTGGGTTGCTGCAGATGGTCAGCACAGTGGAGTGAGCCCTCCCAACGGAGGCTTGCAAGATAGAAATCCCATTCCGCATTTCCTCAGGGCTGCTCCTTACCCCAGCGTGCACTTCGCCACAGGTTATCATTATAATACTAATACCAGCTAACATTTATTTAGCACTTACTCTGTGCCAGGCATTGACATGTAGTCCTCACAAGAACCTTATGATGTTGATACTATTATCCCCATTTTGTAGGTGAGGAAACTGAGAAACTAAGTAACTTGCCCACGGTCACACAGCTGGTAGGTATTGGAGTCAGCCCTTGAACCCAGGATGTCTGACTCTGTAGCCAGGTACTGCTTAGGCACTGGCACCAAGAAGGCATTTCCGTTGCCAGGACAAATACCATCTTTGGGATTCCTCCTTCATCCTCTTGTCCTTTTTCTGTTCTATCTCTGGGGATTGGTTGGTTGGTTTTCTGGCCCCCTGGGCATGAACCCACCAGAGGAGGCATGGCCCCCACTTCCAGGCTCTGCAAAGCTTTCTGCGGGCTCAGTTGGAGGTGTTCAGGCTCATGGCTCCTGGGCAAGACCCCAGGAGCTGGTGTGGAACCTGTACCCAAGGAATTCTTGTGGTCTTTTTGCTTTTCATTATGGAAAAATGTTCAAATACAAAAGTAAAGGGCTCCTGTAATGTACCTGTATGTAACCATCACTCAATGTCCGCAGTTCTTAACTCATAACCAATCTTATTTTCTGTAACCTCCTCCATTCCCCTCACCTGATTATTTTCCATCAAATGCTGGGTATTATAGCATTTGATCCATAAATATTTCAGTGTATATGTAAACTATACAGGCTCTTTTAAAAAAACAGAACAAAAATACCAGATTTACATCTGAAATCGATGGTAAAGCCATCAGCTTTCAAATTTCCAAAAAGTGGTCTCATCAATGTTATTGTTTTACGGTTCACTTGAGTCAGGAGCCAAACAAGACCTACACGTTGCTTTAGTTCTGTCTCTTATATCTCTCGTAATCTCTTGGTTCCCCTCTCCTTTTTATTTCTTTGCAGTTTATTTGTTGAGGAAACCACTTTGTCCTATAGAATTTGTCCATGCTAGATTTTTCTGACTCTTAAGTCCCTTTTAACATGTTCCTCTGCCCTTCATTTCTTTCCTGTAAATCGTTCAGATCAAGAGGCTTCAGCTGATTCCAGCCAAATTCTTGTTAGAAGGCAGCTCGTTTTTTGTGTTTGTCAGGTTGTCCTGCAAGGCTGGTTCCATGTGCACGTAGGGGGCAGAGCTGGAAACGGGCCCTCCTCTCATACCTTAGACCACCTTTGTGGCATTCAACCTTTGATTTTGGTATTTTTTTTTAATTGAAATGTAGTGTTAGCTTTACAATGTTGTGTTAGCTTCTGGTGTACAGCATAGTGATTCAGTTATACATATATATGTGTATATATATATATATTCTTATTATAGGTTATTACTAATTTTGTTTTTAAGTAAACCTTTATAAGGAAGTATGGCATCTGGAAGTGCCCATATCATAGGTGTACCACCCGATGAATCTTCACAGAATGAACCCACCCATGTAACTTCCACCTACATCAGGATAGAGAACACTGTTGGTTTCCCAGCAGTGCCTGTGACCCTGCTCAGTCAGATTATCCAGAGGTAATCACTACCTCATTTCCATCACCAAAGATTCATTTTGCTTATAGTTGAATGTTCTGTAAATGGAGCTGTGTATTATGTCCTCTTACTTGTTTTTAACAATTATAAGTTAATTACATTTATACTCTCACATTTATATCTTCCTATATCTAGCTTTATAGTAACATATAAATTACGTGGGCACCAGTAACTAACGAAACAGATTTACAGAACATACCGATGGAATACTCCTGTGACAGAGAGGAAAACAATACAGGTGAAGTAAGATTTATACTGAAGAACTGTACACATGGTAGAAATGAAAGTAGAGCTCCCCCTCTTAATTTTTCAGTTCCTTCTGTAGAGAAGACATCAGCGGTATGTATTCTTTTGTGTCTAGCTTCTTTCCTCAACTCTTTCACTTTGGTTGCCGAATGGTATTTCATTGTATCGCCGCAGGACGGGCTTTATCCATTCTACAGCTGAAGAACATTTGAGGTATTTCTAGCTTGGGGTTGTGCATAACACTGCCATGAACATTTGTGTTTATGTCTTTGGTAAATATCTGTGTGCATTTCTGTAGGGCATTTACCAAGGAGTAGAGTGGCGGGGTCAGTGGACATGCACACAGTCAGCTTTAGCAGATACTGGCAAATAGTGTACAGAGTGGCTACAGCCATGTGTACTTCCACCAGCAGGGCATGGGAGTTCTAGTTGTCAGCTGTTGGTACCTTGGCTGTTTGTTTTGCAAGTGTAGAGTTCGGTGGCCCCAGTATTCCTACAGTTACCACCTTGGACCCTGGTCTTCACCCCTCTGACATCCAGCCCTGTTTGTAATTAACCCCCTCTAGAATGATACATTGAGTTTACGTGGGTGATCCAGTTAAAACCTAAGCCTAATCATGTCACATCTCTGCCCAGAGCCCTCCAATGGCTTCTTTCATCTCAGGGTAGAAGTCACAATTAGTGGCACTGTTGATATTTAGATGAGATAATTTTTTGATTGGGGCTGGCAGAGGGACTGTCCTGTGCGTTATAGGATGTTTAACAGCATCCTTGGCTTCTACCCGCTAGATGCCAGTAGCACACATCCACCATCTGAACATGGTCAGATGTCCCTGCAGGACACAACTGTCCCTTATTGAGCACTGCTGCTTTATTGGGATTAAAGGCCATATGTTTTCTGTTCTGGGCTGTCCTGTGACTCTTCCCTCTCCTTCTTTCACTCCAGCTACATGAGCCTCCTGTGCTGTTCTTCCAGCATCCCAGTGCTTGCCTGTGCATAGGCCAGTGCTCTTGGTGTTACCTCTTTCTGAAATGTTCTCCTCCCAAATATCCACATGGCACCTCTCACTTTTAGACAGAGATTTTTAATTTACCTGGTGTAATGTCAGCTTTCCCCACTGGAATAACCTTCCATGAGGCAAGGATTTTTACCTGTTTTATTCACTGATGTGTCTTTGCCAGGACAGTCCCTGGCATATAGTAGCTGTTCGGTGAGTATCTGTGGACTGAATACTTATTTTGTGCACTCCTATCAGCACTGAATGAGTAGGCCAAAGGTAAAGTTTTTTTTTTTAATAACTTATCTCTGGTAACACATAATCTTTGAATTCTGAAAGTTGCTTTTACCCAGTGTCCACTATCAAGCCACAGCCAGGCAGGGCAGAGAAGAACAGGGATTCAGTGTCAGCCAGACCCAGACTCAGATTCTACTTCAGTCACTTAGCATCCATGTGACCCCGGGAAAACCATGCCTTTGTTCTGAGCCTTAGTTTCCTCATCTGTCAAATCAGGTTAATCACCTCCCTTTCAGAACTGTCATAAGACTAAATGATCCCAGGACTGGTTTGTCCTTAGGGATTCAAAACTGGGAGCCCTTTTGTTATTCAGTCTGTGTCCCTAACCCATTATAGTGCATGGTGAGATTCAGCTGTTTCTCATACTTGAGAACTTGAAACCACAGGAAGTTAAGAGGATATAATGATTTAACGTTTTGCTTAACATTTCTAAGGGGGAGAAAAACAATTGGGAAATCCTGTCTTTTTTCAGGGCCTCTGTTTCCTTTTGAGTGTTTCGTTCCTAAAAGGGAAGTGTTCTCCCCACATTTACATTGTTGAGTTGAACCGCGTATGCCACTCTGGCTTGGGGCTGGTGCTGTTGTGGCTTTTATTCCCTCCAGCTGGCAGTGGCTTGTGCAGCCTTGAGATTCAAGCAGGTGTCTGGGTATGTGACGTGGGTCTTCGCTGTCCAGTGAGTCTAGGCTGTTTCAGGACCACCTGCCTCTGTGTCTTTCAGAATCCTCCCTGGAAAAGGAAAGGGAGACTCCCAGTCCCATCGACCCCAACTGCGTGGAGGTAGATGTGAACTTCAACCCCGACCCTGCTGACCTGGTCCTCTCCAGTGTGCCAGGCGGAGAGCTGTTCAACCCTCGGAAGCACAAGTTTGCAGAGGAGGACCTGAAGCCCCAGCCCATGATCAAAAAGGCCAAGAAGGTCTTTGTCCCTGACGAGCAAAAGGTAACCTGGTACATCTGTTAAGAGTGAAGGTACAGCGTTGGTTCAGGAGCCAGGGGCTGCACTTCGTCACTTTGGTATCTGGAGGACCCTCCCTCCTGGTGGACACATTTAGAAAGGCGTGAGTTCAGGGTGTAGAGCCACATGCTGCAGCATTTGAGAGAAAGAAAGGGAGTCAGGTGGCGTTTGGCCCCAGCATGACTCCCTGTAGCTCCTCTGTGCAGCCGCTTCCCTGGCTTCAACCCAGCCTCCGGGCAAGAGCTCACTGGGTCACAGAAACTGGAGTTGAATGAGCCCTCGCTTTGAGGGACAAAAGACAGTTGTATGTTGCTGTCCCCAGGGGTGAGCAGGCAGCCTTCAGGCTGATGGTTCTGTAGGAGCTGGTTCTGTAGGGAGGAAGGAGAGGAGGATTTTGCAGTTTTTCCATTCCCTTCCATGGGAACCTCATTAGGACTTTTCATCTAAGCTTTGGAGTCAGGTAGATTTGGGTTCAAATCACCCAGACCTAGCTGGGCCTCAGGTTCCTCATCTGTAAAATGAGAATAACTATACCTGCCTCTTGAGAGGTCTCTGGGGCTTTAATGATAATGACAATGAAAATGGTGAACCTCTATGTGGTCTGTACTGCAGGCCAGGATATGTTACAAGCACCTTGTACACATTAACTCATTTAATCCTCAGACAACTCTGTGAGGTAGTTACTGTCATTGTCCCCTGTTGTAAAGATGAAGGGCCTGAGACATTGACAGATTAAGGAATTTGCACAGTTCCACAGCTAGAAAGTGGCAGGACCGAGATTTGAACTCAGGGGGCTGGACCCAGGGTTCAGGCCCTTAGCCACATCCAGAGCCTGACTGAGGCAGGAGCACATTCAGCGCTGTATGTAGGAGCAGGTCCGAACAGGCCACAGTGAGTGAGCTCCCTTCCTCCCAACGCAGAGCCTACTGAGGACTTGGTTTCTCCTCCCACCTCCCTGGGGAATGCCGGCCCCTCGGTGTCCTTGACACACACAGCTCCTTCCCTGGGGTCCCAGCTCTCATTCTGGCCACACCACAGGGGCTGTAAGAGGAATCTGGGGTGTGGAGTGCTGGCAGGAGGGGGAAGGTGGGGTTCCCTGCTCGGGGAGAGGGGAGACCCACGGAGGACCCTTCCCCTCAGGATGAAAAGTACTGGACGAGACGCAAGAAGAACAACGTGGCAGCCAAGCGGTCCCGGGACGCCCGGCGCCTGAAGGAGAACCAGATCACCATCCGGGCGGCCTTCCTGGAGAAGGAGAACACAGCCCTGCGGACGGAGGTGGCAGAGTTGCGCAAGGAGGTGGGCAAGTGTAAGGCCATCGTGTGCAAGTACGAGACCAAGTACGGGCCCTTGTAGCCCGCACCCGCCCGGGCGGCGCTGCCTCGCCCCTGACCTCTGCCTGCGGCCCCTGAACCCACCCTCACGTGGAGACTGAGGACCCATCGTGGGCACCTGGCGGGGCCCCTACTCCAGGAGCCTTCACGTTCAAGCTTCATTATCACACGGCTAGCGCGGCGACTTCCTGGGGGCCAGCCTGCTCCCCGGTGGGACGCGAGAGAATCAGCGGAGAGTCAGCCTTAGTCTCTGTCCTTGGCTGTCCCAGTTGGACTGGAAGAGCACGGCTCTTCTTTCCAAGGGCACCCAGGCTTCCCTGCCTGTCTCTGTCTCCAGCCTGGGCCGTCCAGGCCTATCTGCAGAAGGAGTCCTGATAGCTGTTGCCCTTCCATCTTCTCAGGTAGCAGGGTGCACTTCCAGGCAGGGTATGTCTGTCTTCCGCCTCTCCCTCCCCAGAAAGTCCTAGAGAGAAACATCCATTCCCATCTTCCTCGGAGGTAGAAAGACACACCAGCTCCTCTGAGTGTCCGCGTGGGTGCCGGGCCCAGCAGCGGGGTCTCCGCACATCCTGGGCTGGGTTTGGATCTGGGCCTGCAGCAGAAGTGCACCCGACCCCTTTTCTCTGTGGCTCTGAGGCCTGGAAGCCTGGAGGAGGCCCTGGCGAGGGGCTCTCTCTGCTTTCCATCCGCTGTGGGGGAGACACTCCCAGGGCGATGGTCTCAGGGCCCTGCTCGCCACGTACATGTCCTCTTCTCCAGGTCACTTGTGGAGGCCGCCTAAGTCTTGTTTGACCCACCCGACTGGGCCTCTGGGCCTGCTGTTTCTTTTCACCCAGTGACCAACCTTGGATCTTGGATTTACAAGGAAAAGCCTCCTCGTCTAGGGGTTTAACTTCCTGGAGCCAGGGTGCACCTTCCATGTGGTGTTCAGGAAACCCACCTCCACGGCCCCTCACTCGGCAGGTGGAGAGCTGGGCATGTCTCCCGAGAAGCTCCAGTTCTTTCTTGCTCTGCTCTCCTGTGTGGGTTAGGCCCCATCGCCTTCCCTGAGAAGCAGAAGAGGGCTTCCTGGTTCTTGCTTCAGGATCCACCCCCGTGCGAGCGGCCTGGAGGGCGTCCGCCAGGCAGGACATCTGGTCACCTGGTCGCAGCACAGCTCTATGGAATAGCAGGCTCTTGGGACATTTTTACGGGCCAGAGTCCCTTCGACCCAGGTCCCAGGAGTCATGAGCCACCCACACAAGTCTGGCCGAGGTGTGTGGAGGATCCTCTCAGCTGTGGCTTCACGACCTCACAGCTGCTCCTTTGTCTCGTGTCTGGCTGGACTCATCCTTTGGCTCCACTCGGAAGATTAACTGAGGAAATCTGTGGAACCCTCTGCTCCTTGTGGTCAGCTGGGGCACCTGGAGATGGGTGTATTTATGCTCAGGGCGGCGGCCTGTGGTAAAGAGGGGTCAGAGGTGACGGGCCACTTTGTCATGTTCACCACTGGCTTTATTTAAAGTGGTGGCTCCAAGTCCCGGGCCTTGACTGACCCCTAAAGACTTTTCATAACGGATGTTAAGAGCAGGGGAAGCCATCCACTGGCTGTGGACCACACCCCGGGGGAATGCCATGGCCCTCCAGGGACCTGCATACCCACCTCTCCAGGGGACTTGACAAGGGTCCCTGAGGCCAAGGGAGGTCAGCCTCCTCCCTGCAGGCCCATGACTTTTCCTTTGTGGTTCTCTGGAAACCATGATCACACTTTTCACTCTGTTGTAACCACAACAGGGCAGTTGCATCCGGCATGTCAGTGTCCTGCCCTGGGCAGCTCGCCCGCCCGGGCACTCTCCCTCTGGTCTGGCCACCCACCAAGAGGGCACTTCTCATTTTCTTATTGGTAGAAGAGCTGTCAGCTTAAAAGCTCTTCATTTTCTTTGGCCAGAAAGTGTATGGTTTGTGTTTTTTCAGTTTTTTTTTTGTAAAGGATGGACATTTAATCTCTGGATGGCGTCCACTTTCCGACCCCAGCGGGTGGGATGATGGCCTGATGTCTCTCTTCTTTGTCCCACCTTCTGCCTGTCCAGTGCCCCTCCCCCTCCACCAGGCAGTGGGTGTCTGGTTCCTTCCCAAAGTGCTTGTTTGGAAAGAGTGTGGCTGCTGGCCTCTTTTAGAAGAGCCCCTTTGAGTCAGGAGCCTGGCAGGGACAGGAAGGAGATATCCATAGAGGCTGACATTTGGAGGGAAAGGGTGCTCAGGTAAGTGTCTCCTTCCCAGGCCTAAGCGTCAAGTCCTTGCAGGAGGAGAGGGTGGTGCCTACTCAGTTTCCATTGTGGAATTGGGAGTCTCTTTGACTCCCTCCTGGGCCCTCTCCGTCTTGGAGCTGACAGCCAGCTCCTGTGCTCAGATCTTTGACATCCTCTAAAAAGCACTGGAGGCTAGAGACGCCAACGTAAATGGCTTTCTATGGGTTCTCAGTGGGCTGGGAAGCGCCGTCCCTTCTTAAACGCCCTGTCTTCAGCCTCATTGCAAACTCAGAACAGACAAATCATGAATGAGCTAGAATGTTGCAAGAATATACATATAATAAATGTATATCTAGATATAGAAGTATATATATTTAGAGAGCTTTCACAATGGCCAGCAGCCTTGTGGCGGACCTTGGTAACTCTTGCCCTTGGCCAAAGGAAGGGGTTTGCCTGTCTGGGTCCTAAGGTTGGGGAAGGCACCTAGCAGTGAACCTTGACCCTGGGTAAGTATCACCCTGGTGAGGGGACCTGCTGTGGGCCCATTTGTGCTGGGCAGCTCTCCATCCAGGGCCCTGGGAGCTCTGCTCCCCATAACAAAGGGCTGAGAGCCCCTGGTTTTCCTGGCAAAGCCCCAGCCCAGAGCTCCTTTAACATCTGTTAATTAAGTGCAATAAATTTTTCTAGAAAATGGCAAAGATGACTTCCAGGTGGATATTGCTATCTTACAGTGTTGGGGATGCCAGAACACCACTTGGTTTTATTTTTCTAAGTGCATGTGATGTGATAGAGTGTGTGGGGCTCTTTGTCCTCCCCTGGGAGCTGGCATTCCAGTGGGCCCCTCTCTCCTTTACCTTTGTTGGGGAAGGAGGCAAGGAGAAAACCCCTTCTTCCCAGCTGGAGAGGGCGGAAGCAGACTGTAGCCCATTGGCCTTATGTGCGTGTGTGCGTGCGCGTGTGCCACTGCTCGTGGGCCGGAGTGACGTGGGAGGGAAGCCGGGAATGTATCCTTTTCAAACAGAATTAAATATTTTGAGATGAGAATTGTGGGACTGTCTTTTCTATCCTCCTCCCCAATTCCTGTGTTACGTCTATCTACATGTTGGCCAAGGAGAGTGAGGGTCATCCCAGGCACCCCTGTATCACCCATGGCCTAGTCACCTAACCACCCTGAGCCTTAGTCTCCTCATCTGTCACATGGAAGCAATTTCTGCCTGCTTACCTCACAGTTTATCAAGGAAGACAAATATTGGGCCAAAAGCAGTTGGACCAAATAAAATGAGCTGAAAGAAATAACTGGAAGACAGGGAACCACTTGTGAAAAGTGTGCACCCCCCTCCGTGCAGCTCCACCTGCCCTTCACGCTGCTTCTGCTCCCTCTGTGTGCAGAGCTCATGCCACCTGCTTCCTCGACGAGGCCCAGAGCTGCCCTTACATGACCGGCCTTTCTCTCCTGCTTCCTGGGCTGCACGCTGTTAATGCTCCAGGTCCCTGAGGTTGGAGGGACCAGGGACCATTCTGTTTGTAAAGGGAAAACCATGCATTTGGAGTTTGGAGATGGGCAGGCAAGGTGGGCTTTTTTAAATGGCCGTCTTAAAAATCAACATTGAAGCTCAGAAAAGCAAAGTGATCAGCCCCAAATCAAAGCAGCAGGGCTGAAAAAAACAAAAACACAGGGCTAAAATTCAAACCCAGAGTGGATTTCAAATTTTCAGATTCCGATTCTCAGACTGTTGTTGGCCTTGGGTCTCAGGGTAATGTCACATTCTCCATCTTGTCACCAACTCCACCATGGGGTCTTCCCACTCCTGACAGGGTACAGAAGCCTTCCCGCTCAGCCTCCCCCTCATCCCAGCTCCCAGTGCCCTGAGCACCTACAGAGCCCCAGGCCTGGGCGGGGTACTGAGGCACTACCTTATTTACACTTCCCAGGGGGAATGTTGTTACCCCATGTACAGATGGGGAAACCAAAGTTTAGAGAAACTTCATTCAGCAAATATTTATTAAATTTCTTTTGTGTCAGCCCTGCCTCCAGCCTTCACAATCTGCCAGGAAAGACAAACATTAGACGGACAAAAATAGGAGAATGAAGGATTGTGGTAAGTGGTGTGGCTGAGAAAATGAGGGATCTGAGAGAGACCATTTATATTGGAGGGGTCAGAGAAGACCTCTTCGTGGGTGGCATTTAAGCTGAGGCCAGAAGGGTGAATGGATCTGACTTGCCTCCAAGGCTCCCACACATTTGGGCACAGAACCAAGTCCTTTGGGAAGCATCTGACCCCCATCCATCCATCTCAAGTCCCCGGACAGATGCGCCTGACCAGCTGGCCACAGGGGTGAGGCACAAGGAGAGCAGTTACAAGAGGACCCAGGGTGCCTGGAACCCTGGCACCCCAGCCTCCTGTCTCCGAGGCTGGGAATAGGGTGCCAAGAAGCCAGGGAGGCAAATGTAACTCAAACAGAAACTTTGGCCCAGGGGTCAAATCTTGAGGTTGGGGGAGGGTATGGCTGAGCGTGCATGAGGTCCTGGCTTCAATCCCCAGTACCTCCTCTAAAAATAAATATGTAAACCTAACTACCTCCTCCACCTAAAAAAAAATTAACCTAATTACCTCTCCCCACAACAACAACAACAAAAACTGAAGAAAAATCTTTAGGCCAAGTCCTTGTGCAGGCCCTTCCCTACCCCCTGGGCCACTTCATGGTCTCCAGGGTCTGCCACTGTTTAGCTGAGCCCAGCCCTGGGCATATTGATTGGTCAAGAGATGAATGTGTGACCCAAATGGTCCTATGAGTCCCTTCCCTGAGATTTGTGAACTTGAGGTCTGTCTCTCTCTGGAGATGACCCACTGCGTTTTCTACTCTGTGTACAATGGTCTCACCCACACAGAGATTTGTGCGGCTATGGGAAGCACAGAGGCTGTGTGGCCTGGAGATCTCGGCGGAGCATGTGGCAGGTAAGAACACAGGCCTGGAGTTAGTCATGGGTTCAAATCTGCCTCCGTCACCAATTTGACTTGAGATCTCGGGCAAATCACTTTCCCGGTCTGGGCTTCTGGGTTTCGTCTGTAGAATGGGACACCAGCCTCTCAGGCACCTGGCATGGCTGCCACTGTGGCGATGCTGCAGAGGGCACTGACCCACCCGGAGATGAGCCCCTCGGGGCTTGGCAGCTGTCAGCCATGGGGGTGGAGTGGAGGGTCCAACCCGAGCAGCCACGTGGCTGGGGGCAAGGTGCTCCAGCTCCCTATTTCTCTCTGTTCAGGAGGATGTGCTGCACAGATAACCGTGGGTGCCTGACACAATGCAGCTCTCCTGCCCGCCTGCCTGGAGGAAAGCTCTCCACAGCTGGACACATGCCCCCTCCTTGACTTACCCAACTACCAGACAGCCCTGGTAACCATCCCCGCAGCCGTGCCCTGCTGGCCCAGCTGGCATCTCCTGACGTCAATGCCTAATCCCCGAAAGCTGCAGCCCGAGATAGGGCTGAGCCGCAGAGGGAGTCGGAAACAGGTTTGAAGGCGGGTGCCCCCAGCCCTCAGCCAGCCATCCCTGCACTCTCATCAGCTTCTCACTTCAGCAAGCCCTCCCAACCATGCAGGCTGATGCCTGGACCCAGTGGAGCCAGCCTTTTACTGTGAGCTGCTTCTCTAACAGCAAGAGCAGGGGCTGCACGGAGCACCCTGCTCAACCTCCTTCAGCTCCGAGGCTGCAGGGGTCTCCAAGCTGGATAGGGGGCAACCACTCCTGCCTAGATTCCAGGCTGACTCCAAGTCCTCACGGCAGGTGGTGGGGGAAGAGGCTCTGGGGAGCAGAAGGGGCTGGAAGGCTTCAGGGTCAGGTCGCTCAGGGCTGAAGAGCCTGGCTGTTTTCCTGGGGTCTGAGTCCAGAACTGCATCCACCCAGGTCTGTGGCAGGGCTGGGCCACGGCCCAGACCCTAGGACTCTGAGAGGTCCTAGGGCCAAATCGCTCTGAAGTCCTACTCTAGAGCCTTGCAGAGGCCTCAGGGGTGTGGCCAGAGCAAGTGGAGATGCCCAAAGCTGCGGCCAGTGTCCTGAGCCAGGAGCCAGTGCCCAGCCCACCCAAGACTTGCTGGGCTCCTCCTTGCCCTGGACCTCAGTTTCCCCATCTTGTGGATCTCAGTACTGATGTTCAGACTCAGGAACATCCCCAGGCCTTGACCTGACCAAAGGCTCCTGGTCCCCCCCAAACTTGCTCCTCCTCAGTCTTCTCTTCAAAATAAAGGGCCCACCATTCCTCAGGTGCTCAGGATAAAGCCTGGGGTCATCCCTGATCCCCTGTTTTATCTCACAGCCCCATCCAATCTGTCCACAATTCCTATCAGTTCTAGAATCCAGCCACTTCCTAGCACCTCCTCGGGCACCCCATGGTGCCTGAGCCACCATATGTCCTGCCTGGGTTCCAGCAGCCTCCTCCTGGTTTCCTGTTCTCGCCCTACAGTCTGTCCTCCTCACAGAGGCCCATAACCATCCGTCATATCCTGTGGCTCCTATCACACTCAGAAACAAATCCAAACTTCTCACCACAGCCTAAAAAGTCCTTTGAGAACTAGCCGCCTGCCAGGCCCACTTCCCCTCCCTCTCCACCCCTGACACTTTGACTATTTTGTTCCTCCAGGGTCATGCCCAACTCCTTCCATCTCAGAGCCTTTGCACTTGCTGTCCCATCTGCCTGGAGCGCTGTCCCCAGATCTTCTCAGTGCCCGGCCTGTCCAGTACTTGGCATATAGTAGCTGCTCACTAAATATCTGCCCAATTTACAGGGACAGGGTGACAGGCCCTGGGCCAGTGTGGCAGGAGTGCCATGTTACCACCAGGTGGTGCTGCAGACCCGTCCCTGGACGGTGACCTCCGGCCCAGCCTCCAGATTTGTCCTCTCAGCAAAGCCTCTGGTGGCCTTCGTGCCAGGCAGTGCTATGGGGCACCAGCTGCCTCAGCCCCGCCCTGCCTGCCCTCCAGCAGCTACTGGTGGATGTGGTCTAGGGGTATCCAAGGAGCCTGGAATGAAGGAAGGGCTGGCTGCCTCCCTGGGCCTTCTAGGCTCTTTCTGGGGAGGGAGTGATGTGTAAGCCTGAGAGGGTGGGGTGGGAGGAATGGGGGCTCAGCCAGAGCAAGGTGTCAGGGATGAGTTCTGGGAAGGCCTTGGACTTGGAGTTTGTCCATGGAGCTTGGGTTTACATCCCACCCACTCCTGTCCTCTGTATGCCTTTGACAAGCAGGAAAGAGGATGCCAGCCCTTGCCCAGACTCCCAGGGCAGCTGTGAAGACAGTCAAAGCTGCCATTTTCAAATGGGTTTTTCCAGGAAAGCCTCATTTTCAGCCAGTCTTATCAAGAAGGCTAACACATGAAACTGATAAAAAGAGGTATTTCATCAGCATAAATTTCTAAGCTCAAGGTGCTGACAGGTCCTTAGTCTAAAGTCACTTGAGAGGGTGGGTGTGTCACAACTGGGATGGACACACACCCAGCCCGTGGTGCCTCTTGGAGCTCCCCCAGCACCCAGTCTATTTCTGCAGCTTATCTGAGCTACATGGCATCAAAAGAGCCTTGAGGTCCACAGGCAAAAAGCTGTTTTAAAAAAAAATGAATTCAAATCAAGCTTTGGTGACAGCTCCAAGGCCCAGGCAGGGGTTCCAGGTGTCTACAGAGTCTGTCTGATGACCCCCAGCCGTGGCTGTGGGAACCTGGCAAGTCCCTTGCCCTCTAGGCTTCAGAAGGCACAGGAGGCTGGGGTCCACCATCAGGGGCCCATTATTTACCTTGGCAGGTCTGGATTTAGAGATCAGAGTGAGACATGGCCTGGCTTCCCAAGGGCCCTCCGATGCCTGGTGGATGTGGGTCAGGCAACAGAGTGTGTGCGGAGAGAACCTTCAAGGAGGGGCATGGGGGCTCAGCTGGGCTGCAGGAGACAGGGTGGGCAGGGTGAGGTGGGGTGAGGTGGGGAGGGGGCAAGGCGCTAAGCCCTGAGAGTTTAAAAATAAACCCTAAGTGCTGTCAGCTACAGCCAGCATCCTGGGGACAT